TGACAAGACCAAATAAATTAAGGGACGGTGCTCTTAATTAGAATATTTGTAACAGTGAAAGACATCAAATGACATCTGGAATGTGTGATTAAAGCTCAACTCAAACAATCTTATGTTCCTTCAAAACTCGAGCCACAAAAATAAACTTTTGGGCAAAACATCCAACTAATTCAGTTCACAAACAAAGCTCATTACCATTTCATTCTTCAATATTATAAATGTGGAGATACAAGCATGAGATAATTATTTTGAAGCTTAAGCTATCATTCTTAAAAAAAAAAAAAGAAGAAAGCAAATGGCGACGGGCTACCGGGCGGACTTCACCGCTTTCAGCTGAAGTCTCGGCCGGTGCACACCAGCGGGGCCACGAGGGTCCAGAAGTAGATCAGCAAGCAGGACCAGCTGGAGCCCATCTTCACCCACACGGCCGGCATGGTGCTCTGCATCACCTGGTATTCCACGTCGGGCCTGAGGAGCCGAGAGGTAAGAATCAGAGAGAAGTCGGTGTTGCAGGAGAGTCGGCCTCTCTGATGGCGTTCGCCGAGAAAAACGACAACAACAACAGCTGATACTTACATGTACCAGTTGGTGAGAGTCATCATGATGTAGAGGGAGGCCAGAAGAAGGCTGAGGTGGAAGAAGGAGTAGTTGTAGGTGACTCCCTCCTCTTCGTTGTCCACGGCCCGGCGGACTCCGTCGTCCCCCATTGCGGACTCGTAGTCGGTGGTCAGACCCTGGCCCTCCTTGGTCTGCATCAGCTTGTTCACCTGAGAGTTGTTGGAGGAGCGGATGCTGCGGCGGGTGAGAGCACAACATGTCATGTTGACGAACTTGCAGTCGGTGAGCTTCTGGTTATTGCAAAAATAAAAATGTCTTCTTATGAAGGCTGAAAACAGCCGCTGTTACGGTAAAAGTACCTGGCAAAAAGAGTACAGAACAAGAAAATGATCAATCCCACGATGCCCTGTGCGTCCCACCACTGGGTGCCTCCGGGGGCCTTCATAGGAGCCGGTCCCGGTGGTGGAGTTGCAGTAATGGGCTGGACCAAGCTCAACAGGCTGGGGTTACACTGCCGGTCTGAGGACGGAAAACACAGAAATCAACAGTTACAGGGGCGTGTCTTCCTCTCGTCATACTTCAAAGTCCTGAATACAAGACTTGTGACTTACTGGGGTTGTTGCTCATGGCGGACCAGGTGATGTACATCGTGTAGAGGGAGATGAAGGAGGCCTGGAGCAGGCCGGAGGTGGGCTGAGCCTCCTGTGGCGACACGGCATGGGAGGAGTTAGAAAATAAAATCACTGTGCCGGTAAAACAAAGCGCTTATCAATGCTCATTAGCCTGTCGTCTTGTCTTCCATTACCTGAACTTTGGGCAGAATGGCCACGACGGACACGATGATGCAGAAGATGAAGTTGAGGCTGATGAAGACCTTGTGCTCGGTGCAGTCGTCGGGTTTGGTATAAAACACGTAGAAGAGCACGACGATGGTGAAGGCCAGGGCGTAGAAGACGATGGTGAAGGTCAGCAGAGCTGCGAGAGAGAAAAAAAAAAAAACACGAGAGAAGAGCGGCGTCGTGAGACAAATGCTTGAGAGCTCACGACTTCGTCTGAAGCTCAACATTGGAATTCTAAATTCTATTCATTCCGTTTAAACCGACCTCCAAACCAGAATTTGGAGTTCCCATTTTCGGCCTTCTCCAGCCAGGACTGGTTCCAGGAGTGGGCGAAGTCCACCAGCAGGAGGAGCTGGATGATGATGAAGAAGAAAGAGCCCACCATGCCGAAGTAGTACCACACTGAGATCAGACAGAAGAAGAAGAAGAAGAAGTCAGGACATGAGAAATCTGAGTACGCATTCAACACTTTGTGATACAAACATTTTGTAGAACTCTTGATGCTCGGTTCCTCAGCCCTAATTTTTACTCAAAAGTCTGCAGCTTTGTAATTTAAACCAGGCGGAGCAGCATCATCTTTGTCTGAAGGTGTGCGAGCTGCCGGATGCTTTAGATTAAAAGAAACTGATAATATGTCTAGGCTTCGTACCTCTATTAAAGATGCCATCTGGAATGAAGAAAGCGCCCACTGTTATGCCGACCAACAACAGGAACTTGAAGAACCAGAAACTGAGGAGAAAAGAGGTAACGATATCCTAAGTATGCACACGTTTACTCTCTGTTTAAATACACTTAGAGGTGCAGTCCCCCTGTTTGGCCAGCAGAGTGCAGCATAAGCCTTCATCCTACACAGGACTGGTGGTACTGAGGCTGCAGTGAATAAATAGCACCAACCCATTTTGGATGGCGGCCCTGTGGTCCTTGCTGCTGCGCACTCGGATCATGATGATGAAGAAGAGGAAGAAGAAGCAGGCCATGGCGAAGCACATGCGGTACACCGACTTGTAGCCGACAATGATGTCACAGTTCACCTTGTTGTCTATGCCCGGTATGGATGTGCCACCGAGGCAGAAACCTGGAATCTGACAGTGTGGAAATACTGGGTGGGTAACAGGAACAGCCCAGTGTGGACCATTAAACTTGATCTTATTAAACTTGATCTTATCTTAACGTACCTGCTTCAGATGTTCCTCCATGCCCGGCAGAATCATGATGATGGACACCAGAGTTCCGAGCAACAGCAGGAAGGAGAAGGCCAGCCGGGTCACCGTGGAGTTGTATGTCGACGGGCAGCATGACGACAGGAGGCAGGAGGCGGATCCACACAGACAGGACGCCTGCAGAAGAGATGAGGGAGAGATGAAATCAGGGACAGGACTCTGGGGTGTGTGGGGTAATCAGGGTAATGCAACTAAACAAACAACACTGTGGCTGCTGTCAGGATGGCCATCTTTCTTCTTCTTCTGCACGCTTTCCGCAGAACACAAGTGGCGGTTTACAGAGGCAGTAATCAGGCCTGTGAACAAATCCCTCCCGTCTCTCATCCAGCAACTCCATCATGATTCAGACTGCTTGAGAGGTGAAGCGCTGTAGCCGAGATCAGCCATCCTTCAATAAATACGCGTGTGTGTGCACCAGAGTACACGGGCCTTTGGTGTAAACATGGCCGCCATGACGAGAAGAATCCAGTCTCCCCGGCTCAGACTGGCCGATGTCAGACAAAGAACTCAAGAGGAATACTACACAAATATCAAAGCAAAACTCCAAGTTTACAAAAGAATATTAAAAATAACCAGTAGTGATAACACAGGATGTTAACAATTACTGTGCACGAAGGGCTTATTTTACAGGTTTTATTTTGAAAAACTGGAAAGGGCCGCGTTTACAATCTCAATACATTGAAATAAATTGTATAAATGAATGAATTAATTCAGTATTCTGCCTATTAATAAGTATTTAATTACATCTGCCTACTGGTGGCACATGTATAGCTGTGCCACACTTAGATTAGTGACCATAATGAAGTGAGATGTAGTAGTCAGTGTCTTGGAAACTGTATCCTTTCCCCGTTCGTGTACATGTTACCCTCATCTTCATCATGCAGCTTTTTACTGTAAATTGACTTATTTAGCCATCTGATTTTTTCCAGATATGGGTGTATTTGACCTAAAATCACTTGTAACACATTGTTTTAAATACATAAAAAGAGGATTAAATGTAAATCAAAGCAATTCTGGTGAGCACAACACGGAAAGAGAAATAAAACAGGGACTGGCCTCAGAGCCTGTCGGAAAAACCCGGAAATGGCGCATTTTCATAAACCATTTAACGGACAACATTGTATTTTGTTCATATTACTTGTTGACTGTAGCCAGTTAAATACATTAACAAACTACTCACCTTGTAAGTGAACCGTAAATAAAGTCAAAATGACAACAAAGCCTCTCACACTAAACAAAAACCTTCAATATAATGTCACATGAGGCAGTAAAGGGAGTTTCGATATCACGACGTAATGTTTTCTTGGCGAAACAACGCATAGCTACATTATATGTGAAATACCAGAATTAAGTGTTTACTTACACAACTGGCGAGGGAACCCAGTGCCAAACAAGCACCCATGTTGGTTTAGTTTAAATCACAGTTCGGACGGGAGCCGTGAAATCTTGAAAAGTTCAGGAAGAAACTAAAACAAAAATGGCGACGTCAAGTGATTTACACCGAATGGGAGGAAAACCGTTTATTCTCTTCAAAATAAAAGCTTTATGTACATGTGTACGCGTACGTCATTTAAATTGTGCGCACATTCGGGGTATATTATTCTATTTTGGTGTGTTTATCAATGGATTGTGATGTTAAATGTACACAACAACTCCGTGGAAGATTAAGAAATTTGGTGTTGATGTAGTCAATGCACGTCTAAGATTACGTTATCAGTTTTATTTTAACGGCAAAACACACTGTACTCGTACTTCCGGCGTTGTTTGGGTAAATTTGGAAAAATGTACGTCAACAAAAGAAAAGAAAACACGTCGTAAAGTCGAATCATTTACAACCTCAAACTTATAAAATACACTGTATCCAAAATTTCCAATGCCTAATATATTATATTTTATTTTAAAACCATATCGTTCACCCAACTAGCTAACTGGCTAACCAACTGACTATAACTGTCAAATACTTAAGAAAACAAAAGCAATTCATCACATATATTATTCTAAGAAATGCAAATTGGTTGGTATTAAAGTCAGTGGGCTACGGTGTTTTCCTCCGCTAATATTATATTATAACAACGTTGAGCAAATGAGGTCTGTGCATTATTCTGTATTCTGTGCCAGTAAGTGTATTATAGATTCATATAGTCATGTTGGTTAGAGGTGTGATGTTTGCATCAGTAATACATGTTCATATTCTGTGATTTAAACCTTCTGCCTTCAGTTACTTTGAAGTTTCGAATTAATGATACAAAATGTAATCAACAAATATCATGTGTCATTATAGATTAAGATAAAACTTAATTGATCTCTTAGTTTAATTCACAAGCTACCCTGCAGTATATATATATGTATATAAGTGATGAATACATTAATGTGCAAATAAATATTACTCAAATTATAATATTCATATATTGTTATGAAATTAATTTTGATGCTAATGCTGTTGTACTTAAGTAAGATTTTGAATGCGAGACTTAAACTTATGTAACAGAGTATTTTTACACTGTGGTATTACGACTATTACTGGTCTAGACTATATAGTTCTGAATACTTCGACTACCACTGCGAATAACTATTGAGTAACAAAGAAGAGAAGGAAATCGCGATTCAAAATGACATAGTGAGATACGCATCTAATATGAAACCCAATGGCATGATTATAAATCAGAATGAGAGCATTAGATTGACAATAAAGGTACAATATGTCCTATAGGAGTTGCTCTTCTTCACTTAACTTATATTGCATTACTTGTGTTTTGTATATATTTGTATTTGTATTTAAGAAGCATATGCTATGGGTTTCTCTGATGTCTTTTTTAACTATGTGAGTAGATGCACATTTTTAACATACACTAGTAAAGAGAGTTAACTTATTTTAGGAGTAGCATATCAAATACCCTAAAGTATTCTGTATGATACATTAGAATACATTTTATTAAATCATATGGAAAAGCGTGAGCCCATGCACAATAAGGCCATTGCAAAGTCACTGTAATTGTATTGCCATATAGGAGCAAATGAGAATAATACTGATTAAGTTTCACCAGTAGAAGCAAACGGTTGGTAAACAAGAGAGACAATAAAAGTCAGACAGTTTAAAACAACAGGAGGCGAACCTCCATCTGCTGCTGTCTCACCTTCAGAGATACAGTGAAGGTGTTCGCCTGTGAATAATAACTGCAGAGATAAAGCTTCTCCACGCCTTCTTTTTGTTGCAGTCTGAAGAGTGGCAGCCTTTTAATATATATATATATTAACATGAATCATGGTTCACATGAATGCACTTCTTAATGAGCAGTCTAATGAATTTGATATTAATCTGATAACAGCTTCATTACAACAACATTCCCCAAGGGACTGATTGAAGTCACCTCTTCTTTGTCATTGATATTTTTATATTAACCCAAGGACCTGATGAATATGAGGCTGAGTACTACGTGTTCTCTTAGATGGTAGGGAGTCCATTTTGACCTGTGTTACAGGTGTATCGGGTTAATGATATACCCTGAATTGTTCTCCTCATATGAGATAAACAAAATATTGAGGATGTAATAAAAAAAAAAAAAAAAACAGCTGACTGAAACCATTACAGCCTTTGGTGAAAAACACAGTTGACATTGGTTCAACTGGACCACTGCTTTTCGGTTTTTATTCAAGGTGGAAGTATAAAAAGTGCCTTAGTTACATTATCATTATCATTATCATTATAATAAGAATGAGACAAGGAGAGATGCAATGAACTATCCATAGGCCTGTAATTTAGGACTGAGGACAAATTACTAAGTGATTGGATTATATCAAAAGACAAAAGGCGATTCCATTTCTTAATATGTGAATGTTTGGATACGGTGCACCCCTTACTAAAGAAGAGACAATGGTACAAACCTTAGAGCAGCGGCAAGACAAAACCTGGACAAGACAGAGAGTCACACGGGAAACTGCACTACTGTGACTTCAGAATAAAACAAAATATTTGCGAATGTAACCTATTTAAATAGATAGAAAAATAGTCCATGCGCCACAACTACTACTACTACTACAAATAATAATGTAATATTAATAAAACATAATTAGTGAAGGCCTATTCAATGGGCTACAATACATTATTTTCCATCTTTGAGTAAATTAACTTGTCAACCCCCAAAAAATTGGTAAATTGGTGCTTTCAAAGCATTCCACTGTGTTATGGTGAATGATATTTTCACCTGAAAAAGCAGACTTGATGTCCTGTTCTGCTTTGATTGCAATTAACACAACACAGCGAGAGCTTCGGGACAGAAGAAAAAGCCACCAATGAAATGATCTCACCTTTTAGGCCTATAGAGAAGGATACAATACAGGCTACAATACTAAGCATTACCAAGCTAATTTAAATCAATATATAATGCATATGTCTGTAGGTTCGTGCAATATAGCCATCACAGATAATCAATATTAGACTCTTCTTTAAATCATAATTTATTTATATTTTATTTCTATGAATATCCTGATAGCATTAGTTTTTTTTTTCCTGCAGTGTTTAAGACAGAATTAAAGTAGTACCCCCTGCTCTCAACCGTCCTGATTTTACTTTGAAGGCCAAATCTGTTCCTTTTCCTGTATCCCGTGGCCTACGTGCGCGCACCTTGACGCTCCTCCCTGTTGCTGCTTGGAGTGAGCGCACGGTGCTCGGCTGTCGGTGCGGTGTCAGCGCGGTGTAGTCCACTATGCCGCGGGTCCAGCGGTGTCAGCCGTAATGAAGCAGTGTTACGTGTCGCACCGGACACTCCGCGCGTACTCTTCTTCGTCCCTGCAGGAGAGGGTGGCCGGCGGGTAGCTCCAACTTCGGACTCCGTGGTTTTGTTCCTCGGCGAAGCGCACTGAAATCAGCTGGTGAGTGTCCGTCGCTGCGCACGTATACACGCCACAGTCACCTGTTCCGCTCCACAGGTAGCTCATCAGACTGGGTTTCTGCTGCCGCGCGCTAACATATGGATGAACCTACAGAACAGGCAGAAGCTGCTGGTTACACTAGATTTTTAATGGGGAGGAATCAATGAAGCTGGAGCCATTATTTGCTCTGAAACTGACAAAAACAAACAACACGAGCTGAAACATCCTCATGTGAGCAATTTATATAGCAACACCTGTTGATTCTGATTCTGATGTTACAATTTACCATCACACTATAGCAAATGTTAAAAAAACAGGGCGACTGTAAAGGCTCCAGTCAACTCCAGCACCTCACCTGTCACCTCCATATGGACTCACAGCATCGTGCGTATCAGCTGTTTAAATGACAACACCACCGGCTCCAAACAAAGAGCCGTATGGCAGATGGATTATCTGCTCAAGTGCGTGAACCGTGACCGTCAGATGATGGTCATCGTGAACAATGCGGTACGAACTCACCAGTCTAACACTAACATTTCAAAATGTAAATGTTAAAATCACCAAGAAGAATATGTTAAACTAGACCAATATGATATTAAAGGAGTTAAAAAGTTGGGTCAGTCACTATTAGTTGTTAAGGTCCAGTTGACAGTATGTGACCACTATGCATTCCTAAAAAAATGTTTACCAATTAGACCCCTGAAAAACTCTAATCTGCAATGTTATATGATATATATATATATAGATAGATATGATATGATATGATGTAATGTCCTTATTGGCAAAACTCCTCTATATGCTCTCAAGGAAACTGTCCCTGTGTGTGTGTGTGTGTGTGTGTGTGTGTGTGTGAGCCCTTCATGTCCTTATCCTTAAGAGAACTTCTACCATTCAGACAAGTCGCCCTTCCACGTGTGTGAAGGCCCGTGAACAAGCCTCAGTCTTCATGCTTTGGTGAATGTGGAGCAGAACATGTTTCAATTTAAATCACGGCTGTAGGGCCTCTGTCTTTTGTGTAGCGATCATAATGCTGGTGTTCTTGAACGTGCTCTTTAGTGAATCATCAATGTGACACACAGTGTCAAGGAAGGGAGATGAAGTCTTGGATCTGCAGGCGTATACCAGCAGATCCTCCCTGCTTTTAATAGTCACTTAAGCTCCATGGCACCTCCTTTAATTTATAATTTCACCCTGTCTTAATTACCTGCATATCCATGAGGTCATTTTTTTGTTTTTTGAAAACTAGTCTCATTTCTTTGATCTTGGTTCAGTGTCTGGCTGAAATTTGTTTTTTTTTCCAGCCAGACTGTCTCTCACTCCTCCTACTCACCTCAGAGTTATTATACTGTTTATTAAAAAGCAATAATGTTAAAAAAATAAAAGCTTTAATACAGTACCAGCATTTAATGTGAGGAAAATGTTTTAAAGCAGCATTAAATGGTAACATGGGGGCAGTGCATGAGCTGTCAACACAGCTGCGACATATCATCACCTCATACATTTATTTTGGCAAATGTGCTTGTTTACACATCCATGACACACAGAGCAACGACAGAACAATAGTCCAATATTCACTGTTCTGTTACTCCTATTGTTGTCTCCACTAGGGATTTATATTTTTCAAAACGTGATTACATTTTGTGTCCCGGGAGTAGAAGCGCACTATTCGAGGAATCCTGGGAAGTATAACTTCAGCTACACACATTGGGCGTAGTTCAAGCAACACTAAATGCAACAAGGAGAAACGTGCATAAAGCTATGGGATCCCGAGCTTTAGAGTATTATTTGATGGTATTCGAAATGATGGTATTCAAAATCCCATTATTATATTTATCTGGAAACAGGAAATAGTTTGGATGTGAATTCCCGGGAATCCTAGTCTCCACCAAAAAGAAAAACCAAAACAATACGCTAAAAGAGGCTAAAAGCATAGAAGAGCTGAAAGGCACGGTGAAGTTGGGTGGGTTTGTCACTCAGAGCGTGACCTTTTCACATTACCCATGATACCTTGATCCATGTTTAACAAAAAACCAATTATTTGTGCAGCTTTAAGTTTAAGAATTTTAGATACAGAGTGAACCAAAGTGCTACAATATAGAGGCTAAAGATCTTTCAAACGTGCCTGTGTAAGTGTGTGTTGATGGTGCAGGTGGAGCGGTATTGTAGACGCGAGGGAGTACAGTCATTTCTCGTCATATTTAAACTCCCTCAGTTAATATTTTGTCATGGGAAGTGAAGGTAGCTGGCAGCCTGCTCTGTTCTGTCACCGCTGGGTGAATCACCCGACTTCCCATCATCTGTTCTCCTTCCGCTATCCTGCTCTCTCTTGGAAATCGGGCCTCGTGTCACCGCGTGTTAACACACAAAGCGTCGGCAGACAGATGATGACATCACAGCTCACCGCCCACCCATTCTGATCCTAGAGTCCCGGAGGTGCCAGCCTTTATCACTAACCTCCCGAACAGCCTCAGTCAGCCTTTCCTTTTATCTTTTACGAGGAACAAAGGATGCCGCTGCAATCAGTGAACAGGTAACTGCCTTACCTATAAAATCTCCTAATCTCCAGGAGCATCGGCACGACTGAGCAGTTTATCTTCATCGCCTGTCTAAAACTTTCCTTCGCTAAAGAGCCAAGACGGACGCATAAAATGTGGCTGACCAGAGTGTATTTACACAGATACAGTACGTATTTCTGTACTGAAGCTGTCAAAGGCTGATGATGTGTGTTGATATTCTATTGCCGCTTGTCCTCGTATTTTTTTTCCCGTAACTTTTGGATTGTAAAGGTTCATTCAGACGGAGCACAGAGTGAAATTTGAGCAGAACTGCAGACTAAACACAAACAGCCAATGCACTGATTATGCAGAGGTTAGCTCAGCGTCTGACTGATATCCAAACGCACCATAAACTTCAGTTCATTCGGGTATTTGTCTACAGACCTCTTTCTTGTTTTCCTCAGTCATACAGCTTTGGGACTAGCACACTTTTTTTCCCTCTCTAAAGTAAATATATTTTCAAGACATCTAAATCATTTTTCAAGGTGCTGGAACAAAAAACAAAATGAAGGCTAAAGTCAGACAAAAGACTTGCAGACTGTACTGATACATCGTTACAGAGTAACAGAGCCAGAAAAATAGCCCCAATAATGTCTTGGATGAGATTGAGGCTGCTTTACAGTTTGTTGCAAGTCAAATGAACAGAAACAACCTCTCTCATATTCCTGCTCCCAGCAACTGTTCCTGCACCTTCGCTGTAGGCAGTTGGATACGTGACTGACGATTGGTTTGAGCAAATAACAACCCCTCCAAAACACAAAACAGCTGAAATAGAAAATCCACACTGTATAAATAGCAATTTATTCAGATAATCAGACCAAAATGTTGCAATTCTTCTACGGCTGCTTGTGTTAAGACAATACTTAGAAGTTTGTTCAATGTAAAAAGGGAAAACCATGTTTATATCCTGAAAATAAAGTTATCAAAAACTGTGGTATTTCGGTATCGGCCCCAAAACTCAGGTATAGTGGCAACAGTAGCATTGAACAATTTCCAACGATACCCAGCCCTCCTCCTTCCTGCTGCAGACTTGTTGTTTGAGCTGAAGAGTGGAAGAGGATATATATATTTTGCTTTTACATCTGCTGTCTGCCATAAAATTGCTATTGAAAGAAAGAAAAGTGTTCTTCACGTTTGAAACGTGTCTGTTTGCAAGATAAACGACAGCCAAGCGTAGCCTGTCACTTATAATTCCACCACCCGGCGGCAAATTTAATTCCCATCGATTGTGGGCCTTGCCACTCTGATGATGGAAACAGTGGTTTGCCGGGCTACATTCCAGTCATTCATTATTACTATGTATTGACCAGTGACCTATAAGAGTTTAGTCCGAGCCGGTGCTTCTGTACAGTCCACTGCCCTTTACTGTGACCACTGGCTGGCTGCCATTTGGCCAAGTCTGCTTTTATCTGTCTGCCATTGAAACACATCAGTCAATTCTTTCCCCACCTGGATCTGGAGGACATATCACATTGGCTATGTTTAGCAGAGACGTAGAGGACGGAGGATGTGTTAGACTGTTCTGACCTCAACCTCTCCGTGCCCATTTTCCCAGCAGCCCAGCCTGGCGAGAGGCAAGGGTTGGTCGGTTTAACTCAATAGACTTCCCCCAGCATGCCTCTGCCCGGCTCTATGGGAAAGGACTGTGGTTCGTCAATGTCATCTCTCCTGCTGCCAGCCTCTCCATACTGATTAGATGGGAAGGGAACAGTAGGTGAGATGGAATGGTTCCTCTGCGGAGACAAAGGGTTTATTGTAATTCCCGAGGCATCCATTCATTCCACAGATCAGTGACCTTTTCAGCGTATCGGACCACACAATAGAATCGGCTGCTTTGTTTCCCCCTCCATCGTAATTACCGCGTGGAATTCCTTCTGCCCTAGAAAGAGGCACGGCATCTCAAAAAAACGTTTTTTCAGACATCAACCATCTGAAGGTCGATCAGCAAATGGAGAGGCTGAGAGAGTAAGAGGTGCAATTGCTGTTTTGAAATGAGTTTCAATGGGCGCCATCAACCGTGGTTCTCACTGGAGATGCCTCTCCACAGCTGCACCTGGAAGCTTTGCACGTTTTGCATCTTCAAATAGCAGCAAGAGGGAAATATTAACATTTCCTTTCTCATCAGCCAGAAACGAAAAATGATTAAGTCAGATTGACTTTGTCCGGAGTCTGAGAAGAGCATTGATGGCTTCAACACTGGTGCTAATATACTGCGCCAGAACTTAAAGCTGCACTTACCAATATTTTTTTGTATCAACATTGAATCAAATGACGATGTCTGAGAGAGATTTATCACCCAGTTTCTCTTTTCAGTCACTTTTCGCTCATTGTTTTGTTTTTCTGGACCGCAACTCTTCTTTTATACAAGTGGAGACAGATATTTAGTCTCGATATTGATGCAGCTTTTAAGGTGCACTTCTAGTCCATTCTGCATGATAGGTATACCATTACAGCTGAAACAAACAGTAAACATGTATTAGTTGATAGACTAAAGGAAAAATTAATAATTTAAACAATTTTGTAATCAAATTTGCCACACATTCTCCGGTTCCAAGCAATTTTGAGGATTTGCTACTTTTGTTTGACCTGCCTGGTCTGGGAGGAGCTGTATAGGAAGTGTTAGGTAAATTGATGTTGGTCCTTCTCTGTTATGTATGGACCTGTATATATGTTGGGATGTTGAGATGGCAGGATGGAAAGATGAGTGTAAATCCAAGGTTTTCTACCGCTGGAGACTAAATCCTCTTCGGTTGCAGCTCCTACTTTGTCCCTATCTCTATAGTGCAGCTTCAATCACAAACACAACACACGAGAGCTTGACACTTGTGCTGATGCAGGGTGGCAGTGTTTGTGCTGCCTTTATAGCATTTTATTGTGTGTGTCTGTGTGTGTGAGTGTGAGCGTTTCTCACTTGCCAGGGTTGTTGTCAGAGAGTGCTAGATGCCCGTTGGTGGCAGCCAGCGCGCAGGAGCAGCACGTGCAGCCGCAGCCACCCAGGCCGCACGATGCCACGATGGTCTAGTTCAGAGAGCGCCCGGGGTCGAGAACGGCCTCGGTTACACACTTCCAAACAACAGGCTTTGTGCTGAAATATTGATGTGACGGCAGCACACACTGTCCTCCCGGTGTCACACATATCGGACATGTGTAGACTTATTATCCTGGCCTTAGTGCAGCTACCAGGGTGCAACAGATGTATGGATCCTGACACCTGATACTATTAGTTATGGATGGACTGTGTTCTGAAACAATTAGATGATAGAGAGAAGACTATTCGTTAAAACTTTGATAAAAGATTATTTCAGAATCTCTGCCTACAGCTTCTCAAATGTGAATATTTTGTCATTTTCTCTATTTTGAATCCGGGATGGGTCATGATTTTCAAATTTTCCAACAGTCATTAAATTGTAGAAAGCAGTTTATGGGACTATCATGTTGAGATATGATGAGAAATATATATTCTCTTGTTTTGGAGTATTGGTCAGACAGAGTTTCCACTTTGAAGATGTCACCTTGAGCTCATGATGGGCATTTTTCAGTCCGAGGGACGGTTATCGAATCCCAATACTTGGCATTGAATGTATGGTCAGATTTGTAATTCTTTAATTGCATCTTTCCTTATTTAAACCAGTGGAATGTTTCCAATTTAAGTCTTTTTTTTTAGGCTGCTTGTGTTCTGACGGTTAACATTTCAGAACTTTAGCTTCTTAGCTCGGACGATGGTCTTTTATCTTATTCAAGTAATGTTTAATGTAATAAAGTAAAATTTCATATTAGTATCTAAAATTAGGTATCATATCGGCACAAAACACAAAGATGCTCTATGTCTAATATTTGTTATTTGAACTTCCCTTTTTGCAAGAGTTTTATAACTGTGTTTTATAACTGTGTCTGACTAATAAATCATCCATTCCAAAATTAAAGTCACAGTCTAAATGATTGATAGTCGGTATTAAAAGACTGCTCCTGTGATTTAGTGTTGCTATCCCACAAAGTTAGGGAACTCTCAGGAGAATGATAAAAAAATAATGGTCAAACTTCCTGACTTTTAGTTCCCAGTATGGGTCAAGTGCCAGTAATGCCTGATCCTACACTTCCCATAATGCAACTAAATACTGTCATTGTGTTAAAACAGCCATGCTGACATCATCGGGGTTGTTTTCGCAGATTTACCCAGTTCTATACCAAATCTCCGCGATTAACCAAACGGGTGAAGGTTGAAGTCAAAGGCCACCGATCTGTGCTCACTTTCACTCGGTCTTATTAGACTGAGAATATCGCGACATCAAAGGCAACACCGGTGTCACGTGTGCAGCCACCACCAGGCCAAAAATAGCACATTCACAATGTGATTTTTCTCGCTTTGACCTTTCCAATGGAGCAAATTGGAGGGCCATTTGTATGCTCAGGGATCAGTTGATGATCTGTTGAATCAGAACATTAGAGGTAAAAGTCGTACGTCCCCCAAAATAGTCTGTTCTTGCTCGACATGTTCTGTTCTTCTGATCGTCCCCGAGGAGCTGCCTGCCAGCCATTCTTTACAGCTCTCTGTCAAGTGTGCTAATTGCTGTAAATAGCTGGGTGCTCTGTTGTTGTGATTGACCCTTATGGAACCCGCTCAATCTGTTTCATATTTGGCAACGTGCAGGGCACTTTGTTGGCCTCATTTCAGTGTAATAGCTTGTTGTTATTGCACATTAAACACAGTTGATTACAAAGAGGGCGGATTGCTTTTAGGCGCTTTTTTGAAGGACGGCAACGGGAAGTCCAGTTTGGACCCGTGTACCAGTAAAAAATGTAGCTGAATGGTATCAATGACTGCTTGTAACTTCTTTTTTAGTGTTGTGGGTTGTTTCCTGAAACTGCTGAAAACTGGCATCGTAATTGAACTTCAAAACCAGACTGACGCTGAGTGATGATAATTGTGACATTACTTTTCAAAGTAACTCAAACTACTTAAATTTTTAAACAGTCACTTGTTACGTTACAGCCTTACCTACTGAAAAAAGTAACTTGTTAGAGTACATTTGTGCACCAATAATGAAATTGGTATTGATATTCTTTGTGTTTTTTATTGTCTTTTAGAATGAAAAAAATAAAAAAAGACAAGAACTGACCCTTCACTCAGTATGTCAGGCCTATCAACCTTTCCAATGCATGCCACTTATCTAGTTTACAATGATAACAGTGGCAGATTTACTGCTTGAAATGAATAATACATTTTAAAACAATAACTCTTGATGTCACACAGAAGTAAACAAAAGCTAGCTTCTCATTTCTGGCCCTTGACCATCGTTTATTAGCTTAGGTGCTAGCTCCATGAGTCTTTCTAATGTTTTAAGCTCATTTAAAGCAAGAAACCTGTGAAACCCTGTGCCCAAATTCTTTGGCGACACAAGGTCACCACTGTGGAGTTAGCCTGACATGTTGACGTTTGAAACTTGCCGAGGACCAAACACATTCCTTTCAATTTTGCTCTTGTTTTTTTGCCTTTGTGTTTAGCAAATGATCACTTGAGTTATTCCCCCAGAATTTACTTAATATTTGTAAAGAATATTCTGAAAGATACTTTATACTACCACAGGACACTAAAAGTAATAACATTGGTGATAGTGGTAAATATCCATCCATTGGATTCTTGGAGAAATAGGTGGTATTGACTGAGAAAAAAACTTTCATTTGGAGACATTTTCAATAAATGCACAGACCTGTAGCACAAGACTTTGGCGATTTCTCTTTCAAAAGAGTCCCCCCTCTAAGCCATTTATCTACAAAGTAAAAGCCTGCGCTGATGCATTTTTGTCTGTGATTCCCGGCTTCTGAAACATGAAAGCAGGCAGCCATAGAGAGAAAAAGGGCTACACCGATCAGCAGAAAAGACGGAAGGATCTGCCCAGGATGTTTGCGAGATCTTAAGGGAGGCTGTGATCACGCTGTCTCATTAGATCAGTCTCAGCTCTCTGCTTCTCTCTCGCTCTCTCGCTCGCTCTCTAAAGCTGCTGCTGCTCAGGGTAAAAGAAATGCAGCTTTTTTTGAAAATCAACCACTGATATCAGAGCCGCGCTTCACCTTCCAGCTTTTGTACATATGTATGACTTTCTGTGAACCTGTTAATGCGAACGTGTTGAGCACAGCCTACAACCGTCACATATTTTATCAGTCGCTGTATTTTGCATATAACTTGATAGTTTTGCACTGCATAAATCTATATATTTGCAACATAAATGCTGCATCTCTTTCTCTATTTAATCTCTTTATGCTGAATAATTTTACATTCCTACATTTCTTGTTGTGTTGCTGCATTATTTCCATTGCTTATACCTTCAGCCACAACCACAGTTTCCCCAAACTCAGTTCACATCAAATCTGACTTTATCATAAAACAAAAGATCGCAGTGCAAAGAGAGTCTGTTTCTTTCTTGGCTCCCCTCCTCCACTTCATAGCTAGCTTTATAGTGGTACAGTTTCCATGGCAGCTAGAGCATTTTAAGCTTTAGGATAACAGTGAAAAAAGTGGGGAGAAGGACAGGGAATAATCACAGGGTATGAGGGACTAAAAATAGAGAGGGACTTAATCCCAGGCATTATTTATTCATCTAAAATGTCTCGTGTCTGCGCCGGCTGTGTAAACATCATTTCTTCTGCAGTTCCTCGTCGGGCGGGCATGCCGTTTGCTGACCTAAACCCCCAGAGTCTTACTAACTGACTAATGTCATGACCACAGGGAGAGGGGAGATACAGTGGCAACACAAAGACAACACACGCCGGATGGACATGCAGGGGCTGGATTTGCTGTGGTGAGGTCGTATGGAGAGGGAAACCAGTTCTGGATTATTGCAAGCAATCTCTTACTGCTCCTACTTCCTTGTCATTAGATGAAGCATTGGAACAAGACTGCAAAATAGAGAGGAAAAATGAGCACTGTTGCTTTTGTCTCTGAAAAACATCCACAGTGACAATATGTAATTAAACATCTCCCCAAATGAAAATCCAATCATGTTTAATGTAATGTAATTGCCAGTTCATTTGCGATATGCAGTGATCTGTGATGTAGAGACTACAGTGAAGCTGCAGTGTGTGCAGTGACTGTCACACGGCGAGTGTTAGACTGATGAGAAGCAGAATAGAGGTCAGCCTCAGGCAGCAGGCAGGGCCAGGCTGCTTGGCTGCAAGAAGTGATATACGGATATCATTGTCTCTTGTTTGGAGGGAAGAACGCTTTGACTGATTGACTGGCTTTTTAAAGACCAATACCAGTGGATTTTTTTCACTTGATTTTGGATAATTGCAGAAAAGTTCATGATACTTACACATTTTGTTCAGCAAGATAATGAAACGTGAATACACAATGAGGCTGTGAAGGGGTGCTAGTTGGCGTGATGACGTTTTGTAGTCTCATTTAGCCAGCTAGCTTTTTTAAGACACGTAAAAGCTTAGAAAAAGGTATTTAACAAAGACGGTGTATAAGAAGGGAACGTAGTCATCATGACGTCGCCCATTGGTTTGTGGACTGCCGTTTTGAAGCCTCAAAATTGGCGATTTGGCCATCGCCATCTTGACTTTTTTTGCAACCGGTTACCATATTTGGAATGCGGAGGATTGACGTAGAGACTGCGTATACCGCCGCCTCGTATTTACTGACGGATTATATGTCGTAGAGGAAACTTTAACATGTTCAAGCTTGTGTTAACCAAAGACCCGATCAAAAAAACCCTTTGACTTTGAGAGGAGGCAACTGGAAGTGCAAAAATGCTAACACATTAACGCATTTCCGGGTTTTAGGACTCGCTCCTGCACCACCACTGATTGTCCATCAGAGAGCACTGACATGACAATTTTTACACTGTAAAACGTCCTGCTCATCTTGGTCACACAATTTGTTTTTGGATCGTTTGTTTACGTTATGGTACGTTCAGCTCTTAAATACAGAATTATTATTTCACAGAGTTGTTTTCACGTTGCTCTACTCAGTGACGTTCACAATCCTTAATTATCAGCCTATATGCACACCTTACACACAGAGGTGTAAAACACTCACAGGACTTGTGGTTAGATTCAATATGTTTCACTCATGTCTCCATCTAATGCATTTTCAATCCAGCAAAAATAAGGAATGCCTGACATTGTGCATTTCACCTTATTTTTTAAGTCATTGCAGTGCTCTGTTTTATAAAAAAATGTTTGAGAATAAGACGATGGAGTTTTCCTGACCCATTTAGAGAGTGGTTCTCTCAGCAATGAGTCCTGGTTTATTGCTAAACAACCCTGTTCCAAGTGTCTGCAATCACTCAAGGAGATGAGAATGCAGAGAACATGTCACATTTATTCTGACATAACCACTGACTGTAATGGACATGACATTTCCAAACAACTTGGTTCATGCATTTATTCACACAGAAGGTGGATCCTTAAGAGCTTCTCTTATGTAACTGAACCACAGAAATGCCCAATTTACTGAATTATAATCGACTAGCTGAACTTAGTCGAGCATTTAGCAGCTAACGAGCCAGATGTTTTGTTAGGAGTTGGTGGAGACCAAAACAGAGCTAAAAGAAGATATTATATATTGAACTTGTATTCATCAGGTGGACAGAAACATTTACCATGTTGGTACGGGACCAATATCAAAAGCTGGTCATCTTTGATCAAAAAGTTTCTAATTTTATTTATTTATTTAACTTTAATTTTAGACTGCATTCAGACAAAGTTACTGTACAACTGCTTCTGTTTAGACAACAATAAACATTTGAGAACTGTTTTTGCTAAAAAACAAACCAAGGTATTGGAGCACATTATTGTTATTTGACATTTTACACATTGCACTGACTTTGGTCTTTCATAAACCATCGAGAGCTACTGGTGATGTAAGCGCATTGCTGCTGCTCCACATACTGTGTTTTGGTGGCAAAAGTTTGGTGGAAATGTACGTTAAGAGCTTCTTGGGGCATTAGTTGAATACGGAATTGTATACAACTAATAGTGTGGATCCTGACTGTTTCTGAAAGGTCTCCAGACATGGCATTTGTCATCACCAAGGGGATATTTACTTGCCTTACTTGGTTCTTGAATAGAGATTGGTTTTGACATTTTCTACACACAAACAGAAGAGGCAAGTTATCGAGCTCTCAGCATCTCTTTCTGTTTCTAGCGCTGTCCGTGGTGCTGAAAGCTTCCATTCTCTGAGTGAGAAAAAGTATGTTGAGACGAGCTTTCTTTCTCAAGGTCCTTGGACTCATATTTCCATTCAAACTAGCAGGCGCGCTCTCTCTCTCAACCAGCAAGGCCTCTTCTGAATGGAGCCGATCTCAGCACCATTGAAAGCACTGCAAGGTTGGATCGGAAACGATACCATGTGCTGTTGTGTTCAAAACTACGCTTCAACATTGAATGTTATGGGGGGTCCGAGTTCAGAGATACTGCTCTGTTAAACACACAGAAGAAGACATAAGTGAACACAACACAGGACAATTTTAGCTCGCATGATTATTTACACACAGCGTCCCTGCAATATAGAGGATGTTTTAAGTACATACTGTATAATTTGTTGCTAAATTATAGACGTCGCTGTGTTTAGAAATAGCCCAGATAGCACTTTGCAGCATTAATGAGTTATTATTTAATAGAAGAGCTGTCGCATAGATTGCCCTTTGTCCTCTTTTTGTACTCGGTATGTTTGCACCCGCTCTGTAAACAACCCTTGACCTCTTACAGTTCTTCAATCAAAAGGCTTTATTGGCTCTACCTTGTTGCGTAACATACCTGCGGCTTTTCCTTGTGTCTGACTGAGGCGGAGCGGATATCTTAGTATCTAGGTCAATTTTCTTGACAAGCTAATCCTATCTAAACTGCTGTTGGATTATCAGCTAAAACAAACCTGTTCAGATGATGGGTCACTGCCTGTTCAATGTCTAATCCGGCAGTTCAGTGAAAGTTACCAAACAGATGTTCTAATTAGGACTGGTGGAGGCTATTATTGACACTGATAGTTCAGCTACTGAAAGCCACTGCTTTTTACTCGTGTTCATTTGTTCATGTTCACCCATAGAAATACAAAACCTCTAAGCTACATTTAAATCATCATTGGATGCTAAAACAAAGCCAACGGTATTTTTTATCTGGGGAAACAGCTTCTTAAGGTGGACTGAGGCATCTTCCACCCTAGGTTGTACGGACTAAAACGCCTGAAACTGCTGAGGAAAATCCGACTACATCAGCTGCCGTATCGGACGTGAGTGATTGTGGCCAGTATCAGGTAAGGTCAATATAGACCTGACACTTCAGCCAGTCAATATCAGCCAGGGGCTAGTTTTAATTATCCAGATTAACAGATAAATCCCAGCTTTTCAGCGATGTTCATCTTGAGAAGCATGTCAGATAGACTGAAGCAACAAGGAGAGACGAGCAGTGCCAAGTGCCCCTCCTGCTGCTTGGCGCTGATTAGACTCCTATTGTGGGACTTTCAGTTTAACTGTGGCCTCCGCTCCAGGACAAAGAGCAGCTTTGACACGTGGGGCCAGAGAAGGGAAACTGGAACAATGTTCTGGCTTCCCGGGACGCCTACATTAAGATCCAACTGAAAGGCCACGTTTAGTACTGCAGCTACATAATGGTTCACTGGTTAGCGCTTCAATTTAGAGACCTCAAATCAGAGCGGCCGTGGTGATCATCGAGGACTCTGAGGCCATGTTCTTGGTATTTCTACATTCATTAGTTTCTCGATGTTAATATAAAATGGAGTAACCTTAAATTGAGACGTGATGTTAAGAAGCATTTTCAATTCAACGCCAGCTGGAAAAATCCTCAATAAAGGTAAGGCTGTTTGCTGACGCAACTAAATGCAACTGTCTTACAAACGTTCGAATTAATTCAAATAATTAGCTTGCTTCCAATTTGTTCGAACTTGATTTCACAGTACATTGAAATTTCTCTACTGTGATGCCAACAAAGTAGTAATTTAATATAGGCTATTGAACAGTTACCTAAGCAAATAAAATACATCCAAATCATTACACAT